GATTTAGGTATTTGGAGGTTTATGGGGTATTTAAAATTGGCCTATGAGTTGTTTACAGTCAACACTGCCTATAATCTCTCCCAAGAGAGACTTGCGGTGCTTTCTAGGTTCTATGGTAAACCGATTAGATTGGATTGGTTGTCCGGTCCTGTGGGAGTAATTTAGTGTTCTGACATCCTCCAGGAAGCTTCACCGCTGTTCCATGCTTTCTCAATTGAAGGATAATAAATCAGCCTGTAGTTCACCATTGACTCACAAAGCCTTAGAAATGTGTTTTTAACTCGATCCAGCTCTAATCAATGATAATGTCTCATGTTGGTTTCATGGACAGAGACTCGGTGTGCTGCTTTTTGAGACAGAACAAAAAAAAAAATGCTGGAATGAAATATTTTCTGTCAGGGTCAGGCTGGTTAAATCAGTGAAATATTTAACAAAACGCTGCTTTTTGTTTTTCCTCATGTAACCTTTGACTAATATGAAAATGTCTTTGATGACCTGACATTATTAATAGAAAAAAAAGCTAATCAAAAGAAATATCTATGCTGGCATAAGCCTCCATGCAGCTCTAGGGGTGAGTATTGGCATGGGTGTTGCATTATGATACTTGGGTCACAATACGATAGTGAAATATCACTGTATATTGCAATATTTTACTCCGCTATCAACATAAAATTTATAGCTAAAAGCTGAAATCACCATATATCGCCAAATATATATATTTCCCCACACCCCAGCATCTCCAAACCAGTATGTTAGGTTTATTCAATGATGATTATAAAGTTAATGTGTGTGCATATGGAACATTGGGAGAAATGAGATGCTTCACTCTGTTTACTGCAAATTGTCATGCAACGGTGGAAGAAAATTGCTGATGTTTGTGCAAGGCTAATCACAGTTATCAGGAGACCACTCTATTCTGTGATTCAATCAGAGGAGCATTTTGTCCTATGACCTGATCCATTGCCTTGTCAGAAGAACACTCTATTTTGCAACCCAACTCATGTGTTATGATCCGCTAATAAAAAGGCTTCTGCTGAGGAAGCCCATCAGAGAGTAGATGTAGCTGAATGTAGCTCTCTCCTTCTGCAGAAGCCGTTAAAAAATCCCTCTTCTGTGTAGACTCAGTTCTTCTTTTACGAACCTACATTTTTGAACCTAACACAGTATCAGCAAATTTTGGAAAGAACAGCAAAAAAAACCTTTTTACTTCTAGCAGTAGTGCATTTCTGACCTGTTGCTGGTGTTGCGGAGGATCACAAGTGCGTCAGGAAAGCCGTCCAGGTTGTAGTCTCCGAGATGCAGGACCAGAGGTTGGCTGGGGGTTCCTGGTACAAAGCCCCAAAATGTGTCCCTCTGTTTGAAGTCTGCCAGCACCGGGACCCACTGAACAACAACAAAAAAAAGAAAAGCACCTGGTGAGAATTTCTAATTCAAGAATCTGAGACTATTTCTGTAAAAAAAAAAAGAAAAAAGAAAAGGGAAAAAAACTGTCTGAGCATAAAAAACACCCCAAAAACAATCCGTGTATTGTTCGTTCTTTGCTTTTTTCATTTAAAAACAAAAACGAAAAAAAACAAAACAAGCATGAGGTTTTTTTTGTTTTTAAAACCTAAATCGAAAAAATGAAAAATCGAATAAATAGAAAATCAACAGCGTTTGAGTTTTGTTTTGCCATCGAAATGAAAATAAAATACGGTTGTTTTTTTAATATGTAGCGGCACCGGAAATGAAGTAAGTCGCCAAAGAAAAATCATTTACAGTGGATGCAGACGGCATCAAAACAAACCATTTCTAAACAAAAGGCAATGGCTGCAATTGAACCGTTTTCGGCATTGATTATCAAACTTTTTGAGAGATGAACACACTGTGAAAATCAGTGATGCTTTGAGCCGCCATGGAGCTCCACATCACTCGTTTCCATTTTGGTAGTGCTAACTGAAAAAGTTCTTCTATTTGTGGACTGTAATGGCGGTTGGCAAGAAATTGAAGGAGTACATTACCGTCACCTACTGGTAACTAAAAAAATTATGTGTTTGGAGTTCAGGTCTTCATTTCCGGTTCTGCCATAAGGTCGGTTGAATTAACAACAAAATAAAAGTTTGTCTTTGGTTTATCCATTGCAGTGAAAAAAATCCCCAAACGTACCCTTTTTTCATTTTTGCAAATGCCGTTTTTCTAATTTTGTTTTAAAAACGGAAAAACAAAAAAACCACATGCTTTTTTTTTTTTTTGGTTTTTTTTTTGAACGGAAAAAACCAAAGAACGAGCCATACACGGATTAAAAACCTTGTTCAGAATCAGAATCAGAAATACTTTAATAATCCCAGAGGGAAATTACTTTTGTTACACGCTGCAGTTACAGTTTTATACAATATATACACACATCCAACTATACAATATAATAAAGATAAAAAAATAAGAATAAAAAGAGATAAAATATGTACACATATAGCTCTTCTGTATATATATCTGTAGGTATATCTATGCATATGTCAAAACGAAATCCAAATAAAGTGAAAATCCAAGTAAAGTGAAAATCCAAGTAAAGTGATAAATCCAAGTATAGTGATACATGGCGTTCATCTTTAAAAACCAGATAATCTGGTGGCTTTATTTCAGCCAGACCTTGCAAAGCCACTAATAAAAGCTAAACAACCATTTGTACAGACCTGAGGGATTTTCTCTAGTTTTATTTTTTTAGTTCTTTTTGCACATAAATATTTAGCATAACATGTAGACAATTTACGAGGTATTTTTGAAATCAACTTGAAAAGACTACAGAAGGATCTTTAAATTACATTAAATCCAAATCAGTGAGAAGCTGCTAAGCGATTAAACAAAATGATAAACAAGACGGCAGAATGAATGCTGTGACTGTCATATGGCAATTTTTTAACATGCAAATCTCTACAAATCTTATCACTCTGTCTAAAAGAAAAGCCAGAAAATGGATTTATTTGAACGCGGAAGAGAGAGAGAAAAAAAGGACATAAATAGCACAGAGGAAAATTAGGAAAAATGCATTTCCATCACTGCATACTGTCCGCATGTGCTAATCCCAAAGAGACACAGGGCAAGATGCAGCAAATTTTAACTATTCATGAATGATAAACAGAGAAAGCAGGTGCAGGAGAGTCACCAGAGATGCCACTAACAGCTCTTAATAAGACACCGTCATAGGAAAGAAATTTGAAAAAACAAAACCCAGAGCATAATGTCACCTCTGCTGGGCTCATAAATGCAGCTGTGCAAACTACACAGACAGCGACTGGTGGGGAATGAACAGATTCCGGCCTGTTAATAGAGAGATAAGGTAAGGAAAAGGTGTAAGTTATGTTAATGACTCGGTACCTCTGTGGCCTCCCACCAGTCGGTCATCAGCAATTTAAAACAGGATGAGCCGGGTTACTAAAGTGTTCTTTACTCCAAATCATTACTATCCACACATAAACTGAGCTTTAAAAAACATTATTTAACCAAATACACTCCCAATACAAATAATAATGGATAATTCAATAATATAGCACTTTGGATGCCAAGGGCATTTTAAGTTATTATAAAACTACATTCCTTTTTTAAGAGTTATGCTCCAAAATACATTAGAAAGCTAGATTCCTGAAAGTGAGCATCCGGGGCAGTCGCAACGGGAGAGAAAAATGCATGAAGATAAAAAGTCATCCATACTATTACAGCAGGAATGGTTAATGGAGCTTCATGCAGGAGTTTGTGAGTCACTGACTGTTTTTAATTCAGAAGTGTATAAATGCTTTAAGCTTGTCCTGGTACAGCAGATGTTACAACTCCTAAAAATAAGAGTTTCATTAAACAGACCGGTTTCTATCTGATGTCTGTCATTACTAACTACAGTATTTTAGTTTTGATTAATGTCACCAATATAAGGGGATTTTTTTCTTATTTTACTTTCCTTCAGCTCAGGAGTTTTCATATCATTCCTCAGTGTGCTGTTTAATTATCCTTTAAACTTTATGAGCTGGTAAAATGTTTTGATGTTTTCTTCTATAAGCTTTTCACAGCATTTTGCTGGAATTTTGGTTTTGCTGTGATGGCAGGACACCAATCTAGAAACCTAAATAAGATTTTTAGGAGTCCATGATTTTCCTCTGGTTTAGATCAGATTAGATGAGCTTTATTGATCTCACAGCGGAGAAATTCACTCATCACATATTGGCGTAGTAATTAAAGAAGAAGGTGCAAACAAGCAAGAAAAAGTTGCATATATATATATATATATATATATATACACACCGGTACCGGTATATCAAGATAAACAAGGATTAAGGTGCAAGTGTACATGTATTGTACACAGTGAAAAACAAAATAAAAATAAGAAATAAAATAAAAATACAAAATACAAGGTAGTAGCACAGAAGTTTGAGGTGACATATGTACAATCCGGGTGGCTTATATACAGGTGGATTTACTTTAACGTTAAAGTGTAGTAGGTAGGGAACAACGGTGAGGTAGTGGTATGACTATTCTATTTACAAAGCTATGATCATCTGGGACTTCTCCAGCTGTTCTGGTCCATGGTTCGGTCAGGAGTGAAAGATAGATAAGACCAAACAACATTGTCCAGTAGCATTGGATTAGTTTGGGGGGAAAAATAGAAATAAATGTATATATTTATTAATATATGTTTAAGAAAGTTTTAGAAACAGATAGCTGAACTGCTACAGTAGGTAGACGACTGCACAGGGCAGGATGGAGAAAAATGAGCCGTGTCTGTAAGAGGATCACTATCTGTTATCAGCCAGTTAAGTTTTTTTTTTTTATTTAAGTTTGGTTAAAGTTCCTTTATAGAGCATCCCTGGTATAAAGCGTTCCAAAGATTTGGGTTTGAAAAGCACATTACGTGTATCTTAAATCCCTATCATTACTTAACATTTAAATCCAAAAATGATCGGAAACTGAAACAGTTCAGTCTGTTCAAAACAGACAGAAAAAGGACCACAAAACGTGTTTTTATCAGTTTATGCTGCTAGTTTGTTTCTTTTTTTATGTCTTTGCATTTACTTTGTCAACACCCAATAAAGTATTTTTATATTTTTTTTGTTGAAACAAACTGTTTGTCTCAGAACCAAGCTCCTTAACCTGTGACTCCTGTTGTGCTGCATCGCTACCATTTGGTACTAAGTATATCTGAAATTTTTTGCTAAGTCATTATTCGTTTGAGTCAGGTTCCAATATAATCAAAATTAACCCTTGTTTTGCTGGAAACATTAGATTGGTGTATTTATAAGTACTTAAGGAATGTTACTTGAGAGCCCTCGCCGGTGTTGTAACTGAGCTAGAGAGAAATGGCCAAGTAGGTTCCAGCTTGGACGTTTCTTCCAGATTGAACTCGGAGCTTTAATGAAATGCTGCTCGGTCTGGCTCTCATTAAGTGACTATTGAGTAATGTTGCAGTGCGGTTTGAAGAGCTGCCTGTATGCCAGATGGACACAAAGCTTAGCGATGATTATTGCTATGGAAGATAGAAGTGCTTGAGATGACCGTGCAGCAGATGCTGGCAGAGAAAGAAAAGAGTGAGTGGGAGAGCTTTGAGGCTGCTGCCAATCTATCTGCTGGCAGGAGATACACTGGTCTCTGCGGATGGACATAACATTACAATTTCCCACGGATAATCGCAGATTTGCAAAGGTAAATCAATTAAAACAGGCAGAGAAAACATGAAGATGTCAGTTATTTTTATGTTCTATTTCAGGCTGACTGTTTAACTGCAAAGAGAAGAAGAGTAGAGAGAAGAGCTCATCTCAAAAGGAAAGAAACGTAGGGAAAAACATTAAGCAGCTGATAAATGTATGGCTCTGTTCCAGTTTTAGACTAAACGGACAGCTCAGTAGATAATGACACATTAGCTTTTTAACTCCAGTTCCCACTGAGTGAATGCAGGTCCAAAATAAGAGAAACGAGAAACAATGTCAGAAAGCATATTGTAGGATGGATGTAGAATTCTAAAATACAAACTTTTAAGAGCTACATGTAAAAGAAATAATCTAAAGATAGAGGCCAGATAAATCTTTCATACATCCTTTAATTTTTCCTCTCCGTTTCAGAAGCAGGAATTTCCCTTTAGTGTCGCCCTGGCAGCATTCGGGGGTTAAGCTCCTTGCTAGGACCCAAAGTGATAGCCTGTGTTTTAAATGGTTGACCTCACCAGGATAAAAACACACTGGTTTTATAATAACTAGGCCTCCAATCCTCAGTATAGACAAAAAAATTAATAAACACTGCCGTTCAAAAGTTTGGGGTCACATTGAAATGTCCTTATTTTTGAAGGTAAAGCACTGTACTTTTCAATGAAGATAACTTTAAACTAGTCTTAACTCTAAAGAAATACACTCTATACATTGCTAATGTGG